CCTGCTGTCAGGCGGAGGGGGATGGGCGGCCGCAGGAGTACACAGACAGGTTAATGGCAGCCGCAAATGCTGCACAATTGGATTTTGCCTCCTCATTTCTTCAAGAATCAGCATCTCTCCCTTGCTCAGAAACCTGATGGTCCCACTCCTCTCCCCAAGAGCCTCAGTGGCGGTGGGGTGACCTGTCACCTGTGGAAAGCACCCAAAAGGCCGCTCAGAATGCTCCTTGCCGGGCTCCCCAGACACGAGGTTACCCGCAGAGGCCGTGCCGCCTCTTGCACAAACCCCGGCTGCTTGTGCTCGCTCGGCTTCAGGCGAACAAGACGCCCGGTGATTTTATTGCATTGCTGGATTTTGTTCCACTCTGTTATTCCCACGATTTAATTTGCTGCTGCGGAGGCAGGAGCCGACCCAGACAGAGCTCCCACACCACCCTTGCTGCTCCGGTGGGACCATGACCTTGTCTTGGTATCTCACTTAGCCCTTGGCTGAGTAATTTGGTGCCGGCGTGGGAGCCAGGCGCTCGTCTTCCTCCCACCGAGCATCCCAGTGCAGTCTGACTCCCTTGCCTGAGCCAAATCCTCGCTGTGCTCCACTTTTAATCATTGACCTTGTAAATTCTTTCAGGGAGAGCATCCGTCTTCCCAGCTCCTTCCTCTTTCTTTCTCACACGATTGTGTCCTTCCATTCTCATCTCCCTGAGTAGCTGTCGAAGTTTTGATGCCGTGTGCATCACCATGGTACCTGAACCCCTGGGCAGAGCAGAAATGTGCGTCCCTGTTATGCAAACCCTCCCCGAGTTTTAGTCACGCTCGCCGGTTCAAGGTGTCAGTTGGGAAACGGCACTTCATGTTTCTTCTTCCCTGCTTCTCAGACTTATGTAAAAAACACCTCGGGCTCTCCTGAACCGGTGGTTTCTTGGCCTGTTTTCTCTTTGTGCTGGAAGCTGGGTGGTGGTGGGACTGGGAGCATCCCACCTTTCAGTGCGAGTGGTCTTTGATTGTACAAACCTATACAGTGGCACCGATGCCGTGCTCCTCACTGCCGGCACCGCAGCCGGACCAGCCCTGGGACCGCGACTTCATCACACCCGCATCCCTTAACAGAGAC